TATATATCAAAGTGAAATGAAATCCCAAACGGAAAAACAATAAATCCGTAGGGGTAGACCTAAGATTTAGTGGAAATGAGAAAGACTCCAATTTCAACCTAAAAAGCAAGGTACTTAAAACCTGAAAAATACTAAGTAGTATTCATATATAAATCTACAATTTCTTTTAACTGGCATAGAAAACAGAAGCCAAAATCCTTACTCCGTGAATCTATAGTTTCTACCAAGTACTCTCTTTTCGGATCCATGAAACAACTCTCGGCCCTATGTCCATAACAAACACACCAAAACTAAAACCCTAAGTCCTTGAATCTTAGCAGTTTTTGAAATTATTACTATTGTTCCCAAAGGCTTCTCTGCAATTTCAAGATGAAGATTTAAGCAATAGCCCTCCATGCTCTATTATTCTATCTCCTTTGAATTGGGGTTCCTCACCATTGAGCCCGTAATGGCTGATCCTCTATCCAACTTATTGAACAAAGGTTGCAGCCAATACAATGTCACATATTTTACTGTGTTCATTGAGAATTTGAATTCTTCTTTGTCAGAGATAAGAGTAGGAAGGGTTTTGTGAGAGGGTAGCAGGCGCAGGGCACCGACCTTGTTTATACTGGGGCACACAAGTATGACGGGGAGTAAGAATGAAAGGCAAGCGGTGTATGGAAAGTCGCAATTTTCCTCATCTGGGATTGTGCGAGATCTACACCGTCCAAATAGATGGACGATGCTAATAGCTGCAGCTCAGCTCCAACAAATAAGGCTACAGCCCTATAGAAACTTCATTCCTAATTAAAATAAAGAAAATATACAACAAGACTATTAGCTTTTGATAGAAGATAGTCACAATTAATCTTGACTATTAAATGTGAATTTTAGTGGCTGCACTTATTCGATTTACAAAAACTCAAAACTCAAAAAAATTATCGCGAACTCTATGGTACATCAAAGCCACCATAATTCACATTGAAAGGTTACAAGTAATTATAACATATTGTACTAAAAATGAAGGGTTACAAGTAATTATAACATCTTGTACTAAAAATAAATGGACTCTCCACTTACAATCGTTTAGAATAAATGATGTAGAATACCGCAACGCTATTTGTATAAAGAAGGTTTTTTTGAAATTCAAAATTCATCTTTTTTCAAATTCACGATTGTAGTTGTTAGGACTATTGATTAAATTAATCGAGGAGACCACATTTTAAATAGGTGCTTCGGCTGACGCACCAGAACCCCTCACAAAGACGTTTGGATACAAATAAAAGCTCCAACGAGGTTGTCATGGGACCCATTGGCCGTCTGCATGCATGCCTCCCCCCCCCAATATGGAATTTGTTGGGCGGTAAAAGGAGCAGGTATGAATCAGCACGACTAATCACCTATTAATTTAAGGAAAAAGTTTATATAGGGCTGAAGCTCTAAACAATTAAATTAGAGCCCATCTAAAAAATTTTATTAGAAAAGGTTGTTTTGATGCTCAAATATCCTCAAATGGATCATCTTGACATCAAAATGCATGGGCATGGAAAAAATGGATTTCAAATTTTGGAAGTAGTGCATCTTGTAATGCATTTTTGGACCATCAATTTTTAAGATTTATAAGTTCTCATAGATCTGCTCGATTTACATTATTTTTGAAGTTTTTAAATTTATAATTAAAGATGAAAATATCTTTTAAAGCAATCAAAATGATTTTCAGTATTGAAAACACATTTCTCGATACTATTTGAAGGTACACGTTACTTTGTTTAGAGCCTCGGCTCTATACAAACCGCACCCTTAATTTAAACATACAAATTGTGTCACATGCTAAACACTAAGATAAGGAACGGAAATTAAATAATCAAATCTTTGAGTAGTTTATTAGAAATAATAGGTCATAAATGAATAGTTTTATCATATAATTATTTGTTTACAATTTGAGGCCCCATGGCTCAATTGGAAGTTGGCCTTTGTTGCGACTAACCTTGAGTTCGTATTAAGCCCTGCGTTTACTAACAAAATAGATAATAAACTCAAAGAGGAGACTGTATGCTAAACCACACATATATAATTTACGTAAAATAAAATAAATATTGTTAACTTTTTATTACGACTGTGATATTCAATAATGGTATAGCTTTGGAAAAAAATAGAAAAAAGTCGTTAAAAAAAGATAAATAAACATTAAACATCCAAAAGAATAAAAGAAAGAGAACAAAATGTAGGCTGGCTCATATTAAACTCACATAAATGAAAGCCCAGCTACTGTTATATATGCAATTTTTTTTTGACCAAATATATGCAAAATTTTGTTTTTGTCAAGAAAATAGGCGTGCGAGGGATTTTATATTTTGCATATATGTACAGCTCATCTAAGGACGCTAAACAAAAATAAAAATACAAATGCATAATAAATGTGTCATATAATTTTCAGTGAATTTAGGCCATCCTGATCGTCTCTTGTCCTTCATTATGGGTTATCCTGCCCATAGCAGGTCATCAGTTATATATTTTTCATTAATTATTTCCTAAAATAAGAGAGGCATTATTAATATATTTTAATCTGAACTGTCTAACTTGCATTATTTTATAGTCAGCTCTCGGAATCTTGGTTATTTCTGAAAATAAGAGAAACATTATGTATATACCTATTTTTAGCAGTGGGTTTAGAGTAGAGAGAAAGGAAGAGAGATGGGATGGGCACAATGAAGGTAAATTTCTTTTTTATTTGCTATTTTTCTGAAATAAGAGAGGACATAATTACAATGTTTTGAAATCCTGAGATTGGGTGTTTAATTGGTCCTAGATTGTAGCAATTTCTATATGTGATTCTTTAGGGTCAAAAGATATTTTAAGTACTAAAAAAGTATTCATAAAATTCAAATTAAGTGGAAATCACTTGGTTCTCTCGCCCGGATCTCCGGTTCTATTTGCAGAATCACTATAGAATCCCAACATAACTAAGTGATTTCTACCAAGTCGGACCAATTTCTGGTTCAATCAAAGAACCATGAATCCAGTCCAAGTCCCCCATTCTTGATCTCAATTGATGATATTTCAAACATTATTTAAAAAGAATAATTCAAGTCAAATTAAATAGTTTTGGGTGTCTCGCAAAGTTTAAAATTTTTTTTTTTGGAGTGTAATTTTAGTCAATGACACACTTAGAACCACTCAATTTGAAATCTAACATAGGAGAGTGATTGAAATGTCATTGTATTAAAAATAAAGGGTTTCTTCATATAACTTTCCAAATCAAAATACTTAGAAGCATTAAACATCACAAGAACTCAAAATTAGATCATCTATGTGAAATGGATCCGACTCTACTAATTCGGTAATGACTAATTATTGTGAAAGAAACTATATGACCATTGGAATAAAATCATGAATTAAGAAAGGGCTCTTATAGCGCTACTTTGGATAGAGCATTCAATAAAGGCACTTCTTCAATAACGGAGTACACAATTACCAGGTCAACTAAATCCTGAATTTTGCCTTATTAGAGGACCTCCTTTTCTAAATCTACCTATACTTATCTAATCTAAAAATAAATCTTTTAATAAATCTATATGACTTATGCATCAAAAAAAATGAAGCCTAAAAATGAGAAATAAGCTTTTAAAGACATTAATTGTTTCTTGTTAAAAAATAATAAATGCCTTCAATGGAAGGGCACCATAGTCGTATAAATTGGAAGTAGAATCCATGTTATAGGCTTTGCGTGGATGTACTAGATATCACTGATAATGGTTCCTGATTTCAATAGAATTAATCATGATATTAATTATCTAATGTTTTGCAGTGTCCCTCAATATAAAGACAAAGTACATTGAAAGGGCAATGATAGTCATGACAATTTGAAAGTGGAATGCAAGCTGTAGGGCTGGTTTGGATACACTAGCTATCAATGATAGTTCATGGTTTCAATAAATTAATGATGATAATGAATTATTTGTTGTTTGGAAGTGTCCCTCATGAAATTATCTTAGATAAATTTATAATAATTTTTACATATTTGAAAATCTGTCTTTTACTTTATCCAAAGCAATTTGCAGAAATTTATATATTTTTAACCATAAACCACTTCAAATTGCTGAAGAAGTTAAATTCGGAGCATTTTCAAGGACCACAAATATTGAGGATGAGGATATAACTTGTTCAACATAGGCACTCACTCAAAAAAGAGAAACTCAAATTGTACATTTTTTATGCTCGAAAAATTCAGCGTTTTAAGATTAAGCAACAATTTTTAGATGGCTAGATCTAAGTGTCGAAGAACTCAAAAATCCAATTTTTTTTTCCTTAAAAATAATCATCTTGTAAATCCGATCATAAAATTCTAGATAAAAATAATAATAATAATAATATCCCAAATAGCTCTTTTACCCCGAGGGAGTTAATATACAGTATGCTCCTCTTGAAATATGTAAAACACATTGTAAGTATACCTATTTATTGTTGGACAAGATAGCATGGGACTTGACAAGATTGATAAGATTAACTCGGATGAAAAGTTTCAAAGTAGCCAATAAATTACAACCAGGGCATAATGGTCATGTTAAATAACGGGGGCATCTCTGGAATTTAAGGTAAATCTAGGCCTTTTAGTCGGTCCCCACAAAAAGATCCGGGCCTTTTATGGTCGCTTTCCTCACTTTTCACATGCACACATATCCATTAAAAGTAAGCCAAAAAAATGAAAGAAAAAAATAAAAATAAAAACGAAGCAAAAAATAAAAAATAAAAATAAAAATGACATTCCCAGTCTTACACGGCAAGCAAAAAAAAAATTACCCCCAACTCCCAAAACGCGCAGAGACTAAAAGGAAAATGTGGAGAGAGAGAAAGAGAAAGGGAAATGTGGAGAGAGAAAGATTAGAGTGGGAGGCTATAAATGCACGTGGCAAGAAACTAAAGAATCGGAGTGTGAAAATCGTAAGAGAGAGAAAGAGGTAGGATTGGGAGAAGGGTAAAACAAAGAGAGAGGAGAGAGATTAGAGTCAGCGTCAAAATGTTAGAGAGAGAATCGGGAGGACCGGGGATAAGATCATAAGAAGAATACAAAAGAGGGTCAGGAGAGAGAATCGCGGGGTAGAGAGAGAGAGAGAGAGAGGAGAAAGAGATGGTAAAAAAGATGAGAGAGAGAGAGGGAAGCAGAGGCGAGTGCAAGAATCAAGGGAAAACCCCTGCAATAAGGAACCCCATAAATTATGTTCATTTTTTTCGCTCTGTATATATAGTACACGAAAAATTCACAAAAACATCGGAGAAAAAGCTTTAAATGGACCACCAGCTACAAAACCTCGTCTTCCAAACCTAGAAGACGAGAGAGAAAAGACTCGGAGATCGAGAGAGAGAGGGAGAAAGTCGGAGTGGGGTAGAGAAACAGAGGTGAGGAAGAGAGACAGAGTGAGTCCCTTGGAAACAAGATAGAGAGAGAGAAAGTTCATCCATGACCAGAGAAGCAGAGATGGGTAGAGAGAGAGAGGATGCCCTTGAAAACTAGATAGAGAGAGAAAAAGGGTCCCATAGAAGCTATAGAGAGTGTGTGTATATAAGTAGAGAGAAGAGAGAGAGCATCGGGACTAATTCCTCACATCGAAATCCTAACGGAGAGACCTGTGGCAACCAGAGGAAGAGGAAAGAGAGAGAGAGAAAGTCAAGCGAAAGACACAGAGGAAGTGGGGGGAGTCTCTCGTAAATCCAATAGAGGGAGGGGCAGAGCCAACACAGGAATCGAATAGAGAAAGAAACAAATATTTAGAGAGAGAGAAACATCCACCAACGATGAAAGAAGTCTGGGCGTCTCTGGCCTCCCTCATGGGCGTCATCGCCTTCATCCAGGCCCTACTCCACACCGTCCTCCCACCGGAATTCCGGTCGATGTTGACTTCTTTCTTTGCCCGCTTCTCCTCCGTCTTCTCCCCCTTCTGCTACTTCGACATCCACGACTCCGATGGGGTGAGCCCGAACGACCTCTACTCTTCGGTGCAGCTCTACCTCTCCCGCTCCGCCTCCACCCTGGCCTCCCGTGCCTCCCTCTCCCGCCTCTCCAACTCCTCCGCCTTCACATTTTCTCTCTCTAGCAATCACATTCTCAAGGACTCTTTCAATGGCGCCATTCCCGTATGGGAACATATCATCTCCCAGCGCCAGGCCCAGACCATCTCATGGCGGCCAATGCCGGAGGAGAAGCGGATGTTCGTCCTGAAAATGCACAAAAAGGACAGGCAAGTGCTCATCCCGGCATATCTCGACCACGTAATGGCTGTGGCTGCAGAAATTCGGAGGCGGAACCGGGACCGGCTCCTGTACACAAACACGCGAGGCGGGTCAATGGACGGGAGGGGCCTCCCATGGGAGTCGGTGCCATTCAAGCACCCATCGACCTTCGATACCCTGGCCATGAACCCTGCAAAGAAGGCAGAGATCAAAGGCGACCTCGATGATTTTGCGAAGGGCGAGGACTTCTACAAGAAGACGGGGAGGGCCTGGAAGAGGGGGTACCTGCTCTACGGCCCACCCGGCACCGGAAAGTCAAGCATGATAGCTGCTATGGCCAACCACCTCGGCTACGACATCTACGACCTCGAGCTCACGGAGGTGCATTCGAATTCAGAGCTCCGGAAGCTCCTGATCAAGACCACGAGCAAGTCGATCATCGTCATCGAGGATATCGACTGCTCGATCGATCTCTCCAACCGGGCAAAGAAGCCGAAGCCGACAACCCCGTCCGATCCCTCAAACCCGACTCCCAATCTCCAGGAGGAGAACAACACGAAGACCGTGACTCTATCCGGCCTCCTGAACTTCACCGATGGCCTCTGGTCCTGCTGCGGAAGCGAGAGGATCTTCGTTTTCACGACAAATCACATTGAGAAATTGGATCCTGCTTTATTGAGGTCAGGGAGAATGGATATGCATATTTTCATGAGTTATTGCTGCTACGAAGCTCTGAAAATTCTGGTTACGAATTATTTGGGAATCGAAGGAGAGGATGAGGGGCTAAAAGCCGTTGAAGCTCTGGTTGATGAAGCAGAGATGACTCCTGCTGATATAAGTGAGATTCTGATAAAGAGGAGGAGAGACCCAAAGAAGGCTCTAGAGGATTTGAAGGCCGCCATGGAGAAGAGAGCGGAACAGAAGGAGAGGGTGAGGAATCCGACCAGTGAGGAGGTGGCGGAGGAGCAGGAGAAGAGGGCCCTTGAGACACCAAAGGAGAATGGCTTGGAAGAGGAGGTCTCAAAGGAGGAGAGTGAGAAAGATCAGGATTCGTAGATAATGGTTTCTGGTTTTCCGGCGACTTTGGCCGTGAATTTATGTTTTTTGGCCGGAAGCTGGCGGTGGAATCGAGGGGCATTGTGACGTGTCGTGGAGAGGGGTAGAGACAGAGAGAGGTTTTTTTTTAATCATATTTGGTGGCGCCGCCGGTTTTCTACGAGAAGGAAGAATTTGATGGGTTTTTAATGGGCTATGTAATTTTTTTTTTCGTGAATAATTGTAGATTATAGGAAAAAGAGGCACTAAAAGCTTTATTATGTTGTCTGAATTATCTTATATACAGCAAAAAAAAGGAGTATTCTTAACTTCTGAGGATTGGTTAAGCTTTATTATGTTGTCTGAAATGTCTTGGTTTTTTGAGAGAGAGAGAGAGAGAGAAGCTCTAGGGATTTGCCGCCATTGGTGTGAAGCGTAACTCCTCCGAATATGAGTGAGAGAAATATGAAAAATTACTCTCATATTTTCACAACTGGCATGACTTGATGTGAAAGATAAATTAGTATGAGGACGGACATTTTCATACGAACCAAACTAGAGAAACAAGGTGCAGTTGAGAAGCAACGTGTTTTGTCCATGAGACGCGGAAATGAGGGAAAGAGACGTGACGTTGAGAGATGCAAGTGTGTGTTATAGAGAGAGGAGAGCAATGTGTTTTGGCCTTGAGGGTACTCATGAGGGAGAAGGGGAAAATGATACCCAACTTTAATGCTACTTTTGCCTTTTGCGATGTCCAAGGGTTGTTCAATTTTTTTCCTACTTTCTCTTCTTTTTTTTTTTCTACCTTAAATATAATTTTGTTTTGTTTGCCACATATACTAATTTTATGTTTTTTTTTTTTTTAAAAAAATGATCCTATAGGACTGTTTTCTATTTATGTGTGTAAGACTCTAAAAAGGTCACCATTAAATTTAAAACGGATTTATAGAAAGTCAAATTTCACATTCATGTGATAATTTTTTTAGAGATCCGTACGAATTTTAATGATGATCATTTGGCATCCTACACAAATTGATGAAAACTATCCTCTCGGATCAAAATTTGTTTGTTTTAAAACTAATCAAGTTCATCACATGCTCATTATGCTAATTTGGTCGATTACACAGTTTCAAGCTCGATTTTGGCTTTTTTGGTTTTAAAACCCAGAGTCCAAGTTTTAAAAAATCCACCCAATTGATGATTTGTCCCTCAATTGTTGTGCTAATTCTATTAATTCTATGTAATAACACAATATATATATATATATAATCTACTTTTTTTCATATTTTTTTATTTGTTTTGGGTTTTTTTGACCCATTTTAAATATATTTTTTAACTTTACCGACTCGGAGCAGTTAACCGGCCCATGACCGGTCGACCGGCCCTGTTCGATCTTTCTAGCACCAATGAGCAGTGACTACATGGCCTATGAAAGGTTTAAACAAACCTAGTGGTTCGATGTTCCACATCAGGACTCCGAACAAGCAATCCGAGATACAGAAATTGGACCTCCTGTAAATTGGTGTCACAAATATCAGACTACTAAAAGCTTCAAAATTCTGAGGTCTCAAGTCGTCTGATATTAGCAATATCCAAACAATGACAAAGTGAAGTTTAGGAAAGTATGATGTTTTGAAACATCAGACCCACCCCTAATATATTTAACAGCCCTAGCCCCACAGATGGACTATTGCGGTGATTGATATATGCGTCATTTTTCCAAGGGAGGAAGAGAAAAGTTACCTTTCTGCCCTTGATGGAGAGAGAGAGTAGCACTGTTTGTTAGTTTTGCCTTCTGGCCTTGAAGAGGGGAAGAGAGAGAAGCAATACAGGGAGAGGAAAGAGAATAAGCGATTCAATGAAGGAAAAAAATTACATAAAATAAATGCTTTTAAACCGGCAAGATAGAACTCAAAGATTTACCGTTTAATTTATATTGATTTGACATGCTACGATTTATTATTATAATATTTGACGGATTTACAGCCAGTTTTCTTTATGCTGGAGATCCGCCCCTCTCAAACTTCAAAACAAACTAGGACGTCTGGCCAAAGTAACTAGATTGGTCCCTCTTTCTTTATTCCTTATAAACAGATGACCTATTGGACTTTTCTATATAATTTTTTTACTTACCTTACTAACGAGTTAAGTGGTTAAAGTGTTTCAAAAATTATATTGTCAAATCAGATTGGAAATTGTCGATTAGGATCCAGAATAAGTCGAGACGGAACCAATTTTAAAAAAATATCGGTCCGCCAAGCCCCCCCCCCCCCGGCCCCCAACATACAAACAAAAACTCTCCCTTTCATTATTACTTTTGTTGAGGGATTTATTTATTTATATTATAATTATTTTTTTGATTTTGATTTCGATGAGGATCTATGATTTATTTAACAGTGCAGTTTGCATGCGGATGCATCCGTACTTGTAGAGGTAAGGTGTACCTTCAAATTTTATCATGTTATATAAATTTGATGCAAAATGTTCTTAAGATTATTTCAAAATCTATTTTTATATCTAATTATAAAATTTTAAATTTTAAAAATGATTAAAATCAGGTAGATCTATAAATATATAAAAATCTTGAAAATAGATGGCGTAGATAATATATTATAAAATGCACTATTTCTGAGACTTAAAATCTTTTTATTTTTCGTAGTCATACATCTCGATGTCGAGATGATGAATCAAAGGGTTTTTCAACATTAAAACTACATTTTTCGACGGATTTTTGAGGGGCATCCATAGTTTTACATTATAAGGTAGCATCCTTGTATAAACTTTTTCCTTTCGTTAATTTGTAATAGATCACATTACAAAATTGCAACAAATATTAAAACTCTAAAGACTCGGGAATGATCAATCCACCCAGTTGAACAACCCTTTTTACTAAGCCATATGCGATCTCATTAGCCTCTCTGTAAACATGACAGAATGATACTTGCAAATAATTAGTAAAATCCATAACTTACATCCATCTGCTCCGTAATGTTCAAGGTGATCAAGATCTCTTATTAAACCAATTGATAGCATTAAACGAATCACCCTCCACAAAACAAACCAATTGATAGCATTAAACGAATCACCCTCCACAAAACAAACCAATTGATAGCATTAAACGAATCACCCTCCACAAAACAAGGTAAGACGCAAAACCTCTTATGAAAAATATGAAGACCTTGTAGAATAGCTTTCATTTCTGCACAGTTTGTAGCTGTCTCTCCACACGGTCCTCCATAGTAAAGAAACATTATGCTATTTGAATTACTTATAATATCTGTAAAACCCATCTCACCTGGATTACCAATCGAACTACCATCAAAATTCAATTTAATACTTCTATACATGGGCGGAGCCCACAACCTTCAAGGTCTAACTTTCAATACCCTTTGCTTCACATTATGTGCGAGATTAATTGCAACATCGACTGCGGATACTCCGAAGCCTTCTTTTGTAATTGAAAACCAACTCCATATATGATGAAGAATTCTTTTTTTCACCAAATCTTCCTGTACCGCTTTTCCTATTCAAAATACCGCTTGTCAAGCAAAATTCATTTATTTTTTGAAATTTCTCATCAATAAATCCACATTGGATCTCAAAGTTTTCATATTCCAATCCAAATAAATTTCCTAAGTAGGTCATTTGCTAAAAAGTATATGCATAGTTCTCCCATGGGATCATGCTGTACACGCTCTTCTAAACTTGTCCAAAAATAATAATAATAATTACTAGAATATCCCTAGTTATTTAGAATTTTCAATATTGAAAATTGGCAATTTCTTTTTATCATATTTGGGTACTTGATCGAAATGAAATGTAAAAAGTTAGCATTCTAATCAATGTTATCAAGATTGCACCGGTTATTGAACCAGTGATGTTTGAGTCTAATTAAAATCGGTTCGACTGTCTATCAAATTGGTTTAATCAGATTTTAAAAATATTAAAAAAATAAATAATAATCTAAGAATTATATTGTAAGTAAGAAAAAAAGTTGTCCACTTTATTTGGCAGATCAAACAAACCTAAATCGACACCGATCCTACTACTGATCGGGTCCAGTCTTGATAACTATGATCCCAGTGTTAAAGGTGATAGAAACTACACTAACTAGTAAGAAATAAAATGCTAGTTGGAAAAGCCGCATGTGGCTTCTGGATTAGGGAGAATGTCCTTTAATATTAATTCAAAGTGTGTTTATTACTCACAAAGATTTGTCAAATCTTATGGGTTTTTAGCTATGTTTCACAAATCTCATAATATTTTCTTGCCTGGCCGGCATCGGACCGAACCCACCCCCTTCACAGCCCCGAGTCCCCTACTCAAGCCAAAAAGCACATTGACGGCACAAAATTCCAGGCTATTGTCAAATCATCCTTGTGAATACAAGCATCTTAATATACATAGATAGAGAGATTAGTATATATATCGAGAAAGATTGTGATCTTTTTGTACTGAAAATAAATGGTCTCTTTGTAAATTATATATATATATATATATATATATATATTTATTGAGAGAGAGACTGCCTTCGTCGGCTCTAATCCAGTCATGCTGATTGTCCATATAAAAGAGTAGGGTTGTGTTAAGTATGACAGTCAGCGTAAAATTTTATTAAATCTTATCATGAATATTGAATTTATGAGCAAAATGGAGAAACTTGATTCATACATTCAACTCCAAATAATTAGAATAATACTTAAATGAAGATGATGATAATGATATTGAGATATAGAAACAAGAATTGGACCTTAGGACACATCATACGATTCTTTACTCGTTGGGACATATTAATACCTGTAAAGTGGTCTTGGAATAATGCCAAAATGAGGTGCTAGGGAGCCTTTATCTACCAGAAAAATATGGACATGATAGAATTTTCATCTTGAAATAAGACCGCGTTTATAGTTGAAATTGTAATTGAAGGTCTCTTCATTGTTTTCCTATATTTCCATTTATTCACAATCTATAGTCGGTTTGAAAAATCGCCGGCATGGATCAGATTTGGAGGTTACTCAGGCCGAATCCTCCTTCAGAGACAGACCAATCCTTTTTATTTGTGAAACATATTTTATTGAAATTTTCGTTTTTTATGACTTAAATCTATGAAGAATTTTATTTTATTTTTTGGTAGTTTAGTGGTAAGAATCAAATTTTAGATATAGCATTGCTTGATGTCGAACTACTAACCACTCAACCCCACAGTGAACTTGGATCTATTACTCTATACAACTATCATTTTATTATTAATTTTTGGTTTTCTTTACTTCGTCCATCATGACTCCTAGGTCAGTGATTGGGCAAATCCACTGATATAGATCTGTCCAGCGGGAGAGTAA